CTGATACCCAGAATTTACAAAGAACTCAAACAGATTTACAAGAAAAAAACAAACAAGCCCATTCAAAAATGGGCAAAGGATATGAACAGACACTTTACAAAAGAAGACATACATGAGGCCAACAAACATATGAAAAAATGCTCATCATCACTGGTCATCAGAGAAATGCAAATCAAAACCACATTGAGATACCATCTCACGCCAGTTAGAATGACGATCATTAAAAAATCTGAAGACAGCAGATGCTGGAGAGGATGTGGAGAAATAGGAACACTTTTACACTGCTGGTGGGAGTATAAATTAGTTCAACCATTGTGGAAGACAGTGTGGTGATTCCTCAAAGACCTAGAAATAGAAATTCCATTTGACCCAGCAATCCCATTACTGGGTATATATCCAAAGGACTATAAATCATTCTACTATAAGGACACATGCACAAAAATGTTCTTTGCAGCACTGTTTTACAATAGCAAAGACCTGGAACCAACCCAAATGCCCATCGATGATAGACTTGACTGGGAAAATGTGGCACATATACACCATGGAATATTATGCAGCAATCAAAAATGATGAGTTCGTGTCCTTTGTAGGGACCTGGATGAATCTGGAGAACATCATTCTCAGCAAACTGACACAAGAACAGAAAATGAAATACCGCATATTCTCACTCATAGGTGGGTGATGAACAATGAGAACACATGGACACAGGGAGGGGAGTACTACACACTGGGGTCTATTGGGGGGAATAGGGGAGGGACAGCGGCGGGGGATAGCATGGGGAGAAATGCCAGATGTGGGTGAAGGGGAGGAAGACAGCAAATCACACTGCCACGTGTGTACCTATGCAACTATCTTGCATGTTCTGCACATGTACCCCAAAAACCTAAAATGCAATAAAAAAAATTAAAGAAAGAAAAGTAAAAAAAAAAAAAAAAAAGAAAATGGTTTCTACCTGTTCTAGGCCTTCCCTTCAAATCTGCAAGTCCAGACCTAAGCAGCCTCCCAACTACTGCCTTTTTTAACTGAACACAAAGTGGTCTTCATTATTCTCCAATAACTGTCAAGGAAGCACCTCTGTACTTGTGCAGTATAAACCTGGCTGTCAACTTCAACACAGCAGCACACTCCCTCTTTCTTAATATTCTCTGCCAAGTTCCAAGATGTAACACTGCTGGTTTTCCTCCTCCTCCCTTCTCAAGCTCTCCTATCTGCTCCTCCAGCTGACAAACACTAAAGTGACTCAAGGCTGTTTCTGAGTAACTTTTCTTTCGACTTCTCTCTACAGTCTTATCCCTGACTTGCAATTAATCATTAAAATGCCCATGACTCGAGTGTGTATCTTTGGCTCAGCCCTTCTCTGACCTCCAGAAAGATATCCCAAAGTGCTTACTTGTAATTGTCACTTGGCTGTTTCAGAGGAAACTCAAAGTCAACAGGTCCTAAACTGTGACCTCCATTGTGCCTACCACTGCTGCCTCACACAAAAAAGCTAGTCTTCCTTCAGCCATACCTATCTAGATGAATGCAGTAACCATCCACCTAGCCGTGACACCACAAATTCAGGAGACTAGAATAATTCTTCTAGCCTCCTGCTGTCTCACTTTATTATATCCAAACAACCACTAAGTTCTTCCAATTTTACCTTCTAATCATCTCTCAAAAATGTCCAGTTCTTTAACTGATCTCACTTTAGTCCAAGAAATGCTCTCCTCACTAGCCTCTCCTAAGCATTTCTGCACACCCCTTCAATACCTCCTTCACATTAGAGACAAGAATAATTCTTTTAAATGCAAATATATTATTCCTAAAATGACGTTGCCTTCCCGTTAGGACAAAGATCAAAATGTTCCCCAGTGCCTCCACAGCTGCTGCCTGTCTCTCATCTCACGCGAGCCCAGGCCTGCCTCGTCTGTCCTGCTGTGCTGTGGTGTACTGATCTTCTTACAGAGTCTTACAGACACCATTCTCTCTCTGCCTTCAGCCCTTTGGATATGTCTTGCTCTAGCTCTATTTTCCCAGGTTACTACAGCTCAAAATAGTCATTGCCTCAACAAAGTCTTTCTGAATTTTCCAGCTTAAATTTGGAACCCCTCACCCATTATATACTGTCTACCTCTCCTTTAGTGTATATATCATAGCTTCAATGTACTATGCAATTAGGTGCTTAATTTTCGAACTCCCCTACAACAACATAAACTCCATGAGAAAGAATAGTCAATCGCCAGCATTTAGCAAAGCCTTTTAAAAAAATACTTAAGATTTTACCCAGTATTATTCACTGTTGACTCCCACATTACTATTGCAGCCCTAACTTCTCCCTAGCTCCAGATTCATGTTTTTAATGATCTGCTCAAATTCTTCACCTAAATATTTAATAAGCAGCTTAAATGTAATGTGTCCAAAACCTCTGGATTACCAACTACACCCCTAAACTCTCCCCTTCCCAACCTACTCAGGTCAATAAAGATCACTACCAGGCACCCTACTTCCTAGGTAAAAATGGTGACTGAGTTATTCTTGATTCCTCTCTTTCCTTCAAATCTCATAGCCAAAATAATTTATCAGTGGGTCCTGCTGACTTTAACTTCAAATTACATATCCTCAGCCAAGTGTGGTGGCTCATGTCTATAATCCCAACACTTTGGGAGCCCAAGGCAGGTAGATCACTTGAGGCCAGAAATTCAAGACCAGCCTGGCCAACGCAGTAAAACTGTCTCTCCTAAAAACAAAAAAATATCGGGTATGGTGGTGCATGCCTGTAGTCTTAGCTACTCAGTAAGCTGAGACATGAGAATCGCTTGAACCTGGGAAGCAGAGGTTACAGTGAGCCAAGATCATGCCACTGAACTCCAGCCTGGGCAACAAAGTGAGACTCTACCTCAATAATAATAATGAAATTAAATTTTAAAAACATTACATGTCCTAAATATGCTTCTTACCCCTTGTCACTACCACCCTCTTCCACAGGTCCATCTTCGCATGCCTAGACCACATGGCAATCTCCTAACTTGGTCTCCCCACTTCTGCCTGCCCCCTGCAACTCTATTCTTCATGTAGGGGTCCTCCTCCCACCCCACAACAGAGACTCTACACAGGCAGGGTCTCTGTTTGATGTCACAGTGCACATATACCCAATGGCTAGCATATGGCTGAGCAGGTGGTAGACAAAATAATTATTTACTGAATGACTAAGAATTCTGAACTGCAGATTTCTAGGCTTCACCCCTGGAAATTCTGACCCTGTATTTCTTAATCATCCACAGGTAACTGACAAACAGGCACCCAGGCCCCTCTCCTCAGAGAGGACTTCAAAGCTGTCCCTGCCTGCCATTACTCGGGATCCCTTCCTCCTCAGTGCACAGAGGCCTCTGAAGTGACCCTGAGACTTGTAAGAAATGAGAAGTGAGCCTCCTCTGGAAACACTAGGGAAGCTAACTTGAGATGATTAATCTTTAGTGAAGACAATATCATGAGAAAATTGTCAGTTACCAGAATGACTGGCCTACAACCAGAAGTATCCCATGCCTGAATTTGGTGAGAGTGGGTTAAGTTCACACAATGATTTTTCATTTTTTCTTTGACACAGAGTCTCGCTCTGTCACCCAGGTTGGAGTGCAGTGACACAATCTCGGCTCACTGTAAACTCTGTGTCCCAGGTTCAAGCCATTCTCTTACCTCAGCCCCCTGAGTAGCTGGTTTTACAGGCGTGTGCCACCACACCCAGCTAATTTATGTAATTTTAGTAGAGATGGGATTTCACCATGTTGGCCAGGCTGGTCTTGAACTCCTGACCTCAAGTGATCTGCCCACCTTGGCCTCCCAAAGTGCTGGGATTATAGGCATGAGCCACTGCGCCTGGCCATAAGTACACCCAATTTTAATTTATTATGCTACCAGAAAATTAACTCCATCCACAGACTGAAGAAATTAAAAATTTAACTTCATCTAGGATTAAGTCTTCCAAAGGCTCATATGCAACAGCAGCACTGATTTGATGCACTCCTCCCCCTTCCTTTTGTGTTTAGGCTCTTGCAAGTCATAAGAACCAGGGAAACAACAATGGAAAAGGAATCCTCGGTCTCAGAAGAGAGTTTAAAATAGCATTTGCCCCAGGGATCTCACACTTTTCTCCACGCAAACACTGTTCTGGAATGCTACATCAAATCAATTTAATTCAACACACTAAGCATTCAAATTTCATAAAGTCTGGGATACAGCACCACATAAAATTGCCAAGGAAGTTTCTAACAACTTTTAATATTAGTTTTATATTACTGAGCAAGGAGGTGTTCAGATTATAAAATTCTTATAACTATGTTGTAATATGGCAAGAAACAATCTAATCTCTGACTCCCTACAAGTACTCTCATTCTTCCTTCATGTTTTGCTAAGCTTCACACATTCTAAAACCTTTAATGGAGAAAAACCAACAGAAAATGTTTTATTTCAAATGATTCCTGAGGACTGGTTCAGAGGCTCACATTTGTAATCCCAAAGCTTTGGGAGGCTGAGGTAGGAGGATCACTTGAGGCCAGGAGTTTGAGACCAGCCTAGGCAACATAGTGAGACCCTGTCTCTACAAAAAATAAATAAATAAAAATAATAAGACAATGATTTGTGTTCCAACTTACCTTTATGACAATAGTTAAATATATCATCTGTCTCAGAGAAATACAAAAGTAAATCAAATAATAAGGGTATTTTCCTTCAGTTATTCATGTCAGCATGAACTGAAGCAGGGCCTCTGCCATACATTCTTCATCATATTTAATTCCTTTTGAGTCAGACAAGGAAGTCAGACTTAAAAAGCAAGAGTCTTCAAAAGCAAGAAGGAGTCAAGTGATTCAAGAAGCACAATAATTAGTCATTACTAAACAATTCTGTATCATGGTTTTGGGAGATTTCTAAAAACTACATGCCCCATCCTCCTGGATATATAAAAAAACATGCAATCCTCTCTAACTTCCTCTTTGGTTGGCTTCCCAAGAACCCCACCCTACCTGACCGGCTTGTTCTCTGGGCCCACATCTGTAAAGCCCATTTCCTCCAGTTTGCAGCGCCTATAAAGCTCATAGTGCCTGGTATGGGTCTGTTCTCGCAGGTCCTCCATGTTTGTAGAAATGAGCATTTCCCGCAGCTTTACAAAGTCACAGTGGTTTTCATTTTCCACTAGCCAGAAAAAATAAGAAAAGAGCAACACTGGATTTTAATTCCTGGCACACAATTAAGTGTTTGGTGAGTGAACGAATAAATAAAAACATGTGAAATAACAAATAGCAAAATGATCAGTTTGATTAATAGCTATGATTATTCCATACAAGTAAGCAAAGAAGAAACTTGCAGTATACACACTGTATTATAGGCAATGTGATTTAACAGACCAGGAGATTTGCTTTAAATTTAGTAGCCAGTAGATCACCAGGAAATAGCAAAAAGACCTAATTTATTGTCAACCAGGTGTTCTAGTTATTTCACACCAATATTTTGTTAGTTTACAAACTATCCTGAAAACATTTCACCTAGCATTTAAAAAGGAAATATTAGTTCACAAAAACTTCAAAGTAGTAAATTTTGCAAACTCAAGAATACCATCTGTTCATGCTATAATTATCTAATTCTTTTATACAACACATTTACAATCCTGTATTAAACACTATTCAAAATTAGTGAACACACTTACATGATCCTTCTTCTGTTTATGGTGACCAGAGGACTACAAATAAATATATTTTATTGTGACCAATACTCTTTAGTATAATTATTACTTTTATATTTTTTATAATATTATGAAATTAAAAATGTTACATTTTCTCAAAATTTTTCATTAATTACAACAGTTAATCAAGAAAAAAATCAGCATTTGTAATTCTATACTAGTAAGGGTAATCTATTCCCTATTAATTAGTGCCATAAGTAAATGAACAATACAGTACTAATTACTTACTCATTATAATGTCAGATAAATAATCTAAATGTCAAGTGGATTTAACTTTTTAAGTTGGCTGACTGGTTTATTCTGGAAATAGTTAGCAATACTATGATCAGTAAAAATATATAAATTTATAAGATGGCTGACTGTCCTTATAGTTAAGTGGTAATTAGTCATGTTTTATGGTCTAAATACTACTTTCTACATTCACATTTTGGTCAAAGTGACCCATTGGTGCTTCCCACCTACTGATGGTCAGGGTACCTTGGGGAGGTAATGTGTGTATGGCATAATGAGAAGGGGGAGGTTCACATGGTGTCTAGACTTTGGCTAAAATAGTACAAAGGCAACTCCTCGACAACCAATCTCATCCAAATTGAGCATCACCTCAAAAAATGCACAAAAGGCAGCTTTGAGATTACTAGACACATATTTCTAGTCATCCTTTATCTCATTTACCTTGTACAACACCCCAAGGGTACTGGCGAGCTTTGACCATCTTGTTTCCAACTTTCACCTCATCCATACTTCCCACAACAGCAAACGGCAACTGTCCCTGAAAAAGAATCATATCAAGCACACCTTCTCATACCAGTGTGATAACTGACTAGCTAAAATAAATTTTATGTAAGAGAAGAGAATAATTTATTAAATAACAAATCTATTAAAATCAAGTGGTCAGCTATGCCTCAGATTTTAAAACCTGCCAGTGAACACATACTAACTGTTCTACAAGAGTCAATTTTGGGCCCCATAAAGAAAATTGTTACATGTAAGGCATTATGCTATTGGAAATACACACAAACAAAAAAATTACTGTTGTTTTATTTTTTTTGAGATGGAGTCTTGCTCTGTCACCCAGGCTGAAGTGCAGTGAGTGGCGCGATCTCAGCTCACTGCAGCCTCCACCTATGAGCTCCAGTGATTCTCCTGTCTCAGCCTCCTGATTAGCTGGGATTACAGGCGCTCACTACAACACCCAGCTAATTTTCATATTTTTAGTAGAGACAGGGTTTCACCATGTTGGCCAGGCTGGTCTCAAACTCCTGACCTTAGGCGATCCACCTGTCTCAGGCTCCCAAAGTACTTGGGATTACAGGTGTAAGCCACTGCACCTGGCGCATCTGGCCAAAGAAAAAAGAATTTTAGTATAGGTATCATTTCCCTCAATATTATCTTTCCCCAAAAAGACAATGTTGAGGAAATTACACACACACACACACACACACACACACACACACACAAAATACATAATGTATATGTAACTATACAACATAGTGCATACCTATTGTGTGTGTGTGTGTATAGATGTGGTACTAATACAAAGTAGTATATAAAATTCTAAATTAATGTCAACATGGTAAATGCCCTAGAAATTGAGAGGAGTGAGAGATCACTGGGAGCAGGAAGATAAAAGCTAAGCCAGATCAAGAAGAACAAGATTTAGATAGATAAGCAAAGTGGGAAGAAATGACTTAGAAAAGGAAAAGATTCTGAACAAAAGGCAACAGCTAGGTTCAGGGGCAGGGAGTAGACTGGTCTGTCTGAAGTTGAGGATTAATACAGGGGAAAAGTCTAACGTAAAAACTATTAAGTACTATGTTTAATATTTAAAAATTGACATTATATTTAGTTTCTTAATGGTGGCTTTGTGAATATACTAGGTGAGCACAAGAAATAAAATTAAATGTAATGACAAGGTACTACATAGAAATTAAGATTGCTTCATTTATATTAGTCAGTTTTTTATAGATTTATTTTATGTATCTTAATACAAAATCAGAAAAAGAAAATAGAAGAAATAGAATGAACAGTTATTGAAAGTCACAATTAGGCGCTTAACAAAGGTGACATCATTTATCCCTCACAACAACCCTTAAAATGGGCAGTATTAACCTAACTTTGTAGATATGTTAAGTCTCAGGGAGGTTAGTAACTCCAATGAATATATGGCCAAGTCTGTCGGATTTCAAAACCCACAATCCTACAAAACATAACCAGGTGTTTTAAATGTGTTAGCTTCAAGAAAGTAAAGAACATAATCACCTTCTACTGTATTAAACTAAAAGTTACATGAATGTTTAGTATGTATATATGACACTCTAAGAGAAACAGGACGTAAATACTAGATTTAAGAGACCTCCTTAAAGATTAAAAAAAATTTTTTTTTTTTTTGAGATGGAGTCTCACTCTGTCACCCAGGCTGGAGTGCAGTGGCCCGATCTCGGCTCACTGCAACCACTGTCTCCCAGGTTCAAGCGATTCTTCTCCCTCAGCCTCCAGAGTGTGAGCACCACCATGCCTGGCTAATTTTTTTATTTTTAGTAGAGTTAGGGTTTCACCATATTGGCCAGACTGGTCTCGACCTCCTGACCTCATGATCTGCCTGCCTTGGCCTCCCAAAGTGCTGGGAATACAGGTGTGAGCCACCGTGCCTTGCCCAGATTTTAAGATTCTAAAGCATGCCAAGGGAGGCTGAAAAGTCTTCTCATGTTTATAAAGACAGGATAGGAAGGTGTCATCTTTCTAAAGGAATTAAACGTGGTCCCACAAAAGGTATATCCCAGTCTCACAAATGTATCACTTTATTTTGGTGAAAGCAGAGTGAAAGAAAAACATGCTTAAAAATAAATTCTCCTTATACTTTTCCAACGTAAAAAATAATATATTTTCTCATACTGGACTTTTTGAAAATTCACCTCGTTTGAAGTCTTTTTGGAAGACACAAGTGAAAGTATATTAGCAGCAATATTACTCACAAATTACAGTTTTATTTTCACATGGAAAACAATTAACATTCAATCAGGAGCTCACATTCATCGCAGCATTGATCTTAGCAATAGTGTCATCATCTGTTGGGAACTGGTATATCTGGACGCCATTGCTGACCAATTCACTCATGAGCTTGATCTTAAACTTCTGTAATTCAGTTTTAGAAACCGTATCTGCTTTGGCAATCACTGGTATAATGTTTACCTATTAAGAATACAGAAAAACAAAATCTCATCAAGGATTTGTTTTTTTAATCCTGCAGCTGTTTTTTCACTCAAAACCATTCATTCTGACAATGAATTTCCCTAACCTAGATCGGGGGCTGGCAAACTACAGTCCATCTTGCTGTTGATTTTTATACATAAGATTTACAATACCGCCAGTGCCCCTTTGCTTGTGTACTATCTAGTTCTGTTCACACTACAACAGTAGAGATGAGTCCCTGCTGCCAGAAACCACAGCACTTGTGAAGTCCGGTATATTCACTACCCGGCCCTCTGAAGAAAAGGCATTCCAACCCCAACCTATAGATATGCCCTGACTGACACTATCATTCGTACAGATGCCAGCCACACAATCATCTTTTTTTTTCTTTTTTTTTTTTTTTTTGAGATGGAGTCTCCCTCTAACCCAGGCTGGAGTGCAGTGGCATGATCTCAGCTCACTGCAACCACTGCCGGCTGGGCTCAAGCAACTCCCCTCTCTCAGCCTCCCAAGTAGCTGGGATTATACAGGCACCTTGATCAATGCTTTTAGAAAGCAGAACTCTTGTAAGATTAACCTTTCATTTGAATTTAGGTTTAGAAAGCTCACATTTTCTTTTCTCTATCTCAAAATCTTATAATTTCATCATACACTTAAAAAGTAAAATGTGATAAAAGGTAAACTGAAGTTGTCTCCTTAATTCACTAAGAATTTTTATTTTTTAATAAGCACTAAATCATTATGGTGATTGATCCCTCAGCAAAACCAGAAGACAGGTGAAGCTTCTCTTTCTGCTTCTTGTTTCAGGACTGACTCCACGCCTACCTTGCCCCATTGTCACAGACTGACGTAAACAGCAGAGGAAGGAAGGAAACTGCACCAGTACCAATTAAAAATGTTGATGATGCAAAGGAATAACTTTCTCAGTATTATTTAAAGTCCCATCATTGACAGAGAGGAAGAGATTTGGGGTTGTGAAGACCAAATAACTTGTAAATCTAGTCCTATAAGATTAATATCCCCACAAAAGACTGATAGCTCCACAAATCTGTGACTGGTGGTTATGCTTTTTTAGTTTGTTTTTAATCAAAAACCACATGCTAATCAGTCATATGTATCAATAGAGTAAAACCACAATGTAATTTTCAGATTAAAAGTAAAAAATCGGCCAGGCACGATGGCTCAAGCCTGTAATCCTAGCACTTTGGGAGGCCGAGGCGGGTGGATCACGAGGTCAAGACATCGAGACCATCCCGGTCAACATGGTCAAACCCCGTCTCTACTAAAAATACAAAAAATTAGCCGGGCATGGTGGCGCATGCCTGTAATCCCAGCTACTCAGGAGGCTGAGGCAGGAGAATTGCCTGAACCCAGGAGGCGGAGGTTGTGGTGAGCCGAGATCACGCCATTGCACTCCAGCCTGGGTAACAAGAGTGAAACTCCATCTCAAAAAAAAAGTAAAAAATCATAACTCCTATTCTAATTTTTCTTTTCTCCAATTTCATATTGATGCGAAGTATATATCTGAATTTATCAGTCTTCCATATGCTCCAAAGGAGATAATTTTTTTCTATCTATGAAATTAATGGCAGAAAACCTTCCAGCAATCCTGAGTGAACGAATTTCCTGTTCAATTAGTCAAAGTACATAAACATTTTGGTGTCAAGTTCTTGGTTTCAATTTAATATAATTAGGTATTCAACAAATTATGCCAAGTTAACTTATAATTACTTGCACAATAAGCCGTTGTAGACTGAACACTAAACATCGATGTTTACATGACTATTAGAGGGAGGGAAAGTAACAGATATTGCCCAAAGAGGGTCACTTGTCACCACTGGTATAAGAAGAGGTAACTTTCCACGCCAAGCAGTTGAGTGTTCTGCTTTTTAGGGACAGAAGACAACTATCTGGACGCGACCTGGGGATTAGGGAGAGAAGGCCAGCAGGGACCCCTCTCATCTTTATGTAGTGCCCTTGTGTAAGTTAGAATTTCCCTACACCTGCCAGCTTCCCCTATAAAAAACCTGTGTATGACTATATAAAATGGGCCAAATCAAGTAACTGAAGCATATCCTAGTTCTTCTTTCAAACTTATAACAAAGCTTTGGTGTTAACGTTCCTGGCTGATTTGTACAATAGAAAGCTAAAGGCAGGATTTTAATAAGTGAATCTCAATTTCAGAATTTGTCTCTCATCAACTGAATAAGGCAGGAGTAGTGACAATCTTTAAACGAGTATATAGTACCCATGATCTTTACTGTTACCATAAAATATTTCATTTTGTTTTGAATGAAATAAGGTATTGGTCAAAAAGTAATATTGTAATGCTCTTCAATGTCTTTACAGCTGGCCCCTCATCATCTGTGGGTTCAACCAACTGCACTGACAGATTCAACCAACTGAGGATCAAAAATATTAGGGGAAAAAAATTTTTAATGACAATACAATAAAAATAATGCAAATTTTAAAATACAGTATAACAACTACTGACATAGCATTTATATTGTATTAGGTATTTAATGAGTAATCTAGAGATTCAAGCATATGCAAGGATACAAGTAGGTTACATAGTCATGTGCTGCTTAACCATGGTGACATGGTTTGGATTTGTGTCTTCACCTAAACCTCATGTCAAACTGTAAATCCCAGTATTGGAGGGGTCCGGTAAGAGTTAACTGGATCATGGGGACGGAGTCACCCCTTACTGTTCTTGTGATAGTGAGTTCGTTCTCACAAGATCTGGTTGTTGTAAAAGTGTGTGGCACCTCCCCCCACCCCCTGCTCTCTCGTCCTCCTTCTCTGGCCATGGAAGACATGCCTGCTTCCCCTTCGCCTTCCGCCATGGTTACAAGTTTCCTGAGGCCTCCCCAGCCAGGCTTCCTGTTCAACCTAAGGAACTGTAAGTCAATTAAACCTCTTTTCTTCATAAATTACCCAGTCTCAGGTAGTTCTTTATAGCAATGTGAAAACAGACTAATATACGTGGTGATAGAAATGCAATGGAAATATAAACTTAGGTGATTCTGACACACAAACCTGGATGTTATAGTCTATGACACACCTAGGCTGTATGGTATGGCTCATTGTTCCTAGGCTAGAAGCCTGTACAGCATGTAACTATACTGGATACTGTGGGCAACTGTAATAAATGGTAAGTATGTGTGTATCAAAACACAGAAACATATAATACAGTACAGTAAAAATCAGGTATAATCTTATGGGACCACCACTCCATATTTGGTCCCATTCTATATTTGCTGACTGAAATGTAGTTTTACACTGCATGACTGTCCTATACCATTTTATATAAAGAATTTCAGCATCCGCAGGGTACTAAAACCAATCCCCCTTGGATACTGAGGGATGACTAGGAAGCATCTAGAACTAGTTGCTCTAAGAGTTAGCAGGCTGAACTGCTGGTTCAAGATAGACTGCCTCTGAACAAGTTTTCATTAGCCCTTTCATTTATTCCTGAAAATCCACTAAGGGAATAAATATATCAATATAAATTGCTCCTAATACTTCCTAAAAACTTTTGATGACTCAAAGGTGGTTGGATTGGACAATACTTCCAATACCAACATATAAATATCCTCAACAAACTGTGCCTGTTAATTTTTAAATAAATTTTAAATAACAAAACAATAAATAACAGATGCTTCATATATGCCAGGCATTGTGCTAAATGCTTTATAATAGTTATCTTAGTTAATCTTCTCAGAAGTCTTAGAGTAAGCTCTCTAGCCCTATTTTATACATTAGAAATTGAATCCGAGTTTCTCCAGGGCCACACAGCTGATAAGTGGTGGGACTGAAGCAGAATCCAGGCAGTTCAGCATGATGGCCAGGTACTAATCCCTCTTGACTGCCTGTTTTATACCAGGACAGTGTACTGAACTGGGTAGACCTCAGCTAACTTTTAAGACAACCCTCTTATGTAAAATAAGACGCAGACATTTTTTTACATGGTAGTTTACACTTTATCATAAAAAATAAAGAATATATTTAAATCACCAAAGTTGGAGAAGATTAGATAATATATACTTACGCAGTATGCTAAAGCAAACTTCTGTGGCAGATAGGCTCTTACTGGGCATGCCTATTTGCTAAACCCTCTATTTACATGAATCAATTTAATTGATTTTCATATCTGCCTCTTGAGGTAGTTCTTCTCCCTAGTTTTTATTTAAAAGGGGAGGAAACTGAGACTCGGAGGGCTAAAGAAACTTGCCAAGATTAGACAGCTATTAAATGACAGAGCCAATATTTAGAGCCAGCCTCCACTGACATTAACTTCTACAATTTTTATACAAATTACCTCATGTTGTTCCACTCTAGCTAAGACAAAACTGCACACTCTTGTTTTTATGTTCCTTTAACAAATATGAATTTCCATGTAATCAGACTCAACTATGAAAACAACTGGCTAAATGGTTAGAACATCTCATCACATGTGATCAGGTGAACAGACTGTCATATAAGCTACATCAATTTTTGCAAAAGCAAGGGGACCAAGTAACTAGTCAAAAGTAAATAGACCTGTGTGCCAAAGCTTCACTAGACAGACCTTCATGGTTTCCACACAGGTTTCTGCAGAGAAAGCAGCAGCATGCAGAACAACCTAGGATTTGGAATTCAGATGATGAAAGTTTCATTTCTCATACCATTCGAGATTACCAGAAAATTCTAAAGTTTCCTTAGTATAAGATTACTGTCTTTAGCTCTCTTTTAAACAAATATAAATATCTGAAGTGAGTTAATTTATGAAATTTTCTATAGCTCCATAACTTCTTTTCTTTTGAGATGGAGTCTCCCCCGTCACCCAGGATGGAGTGCAGTGGTGTGATCTCAGCTCACTGAAACCTCCACCTTCTGGGTTCAAGCGATTCTCCTGCCTCGACCTCCTGAGTAGCTGGGACTACAGGCACCTACCACCATCCCTTGCTAATTTTTGTATTTTCAGTAGAGACGGGGTTTCACCATATTGGCCAGGCTGGTCTCAAACTCCTGAACTTGTTATCTGCACATCCTAGCCTCTGAAAGAGCTGGGATTACAGACATTAACCACTGTGTCCAGCTGCTCCCTAAATTTTTATATAACTCCTTGGCTCAGAAATTTGAAAATAGGTTTTCTCAGTATAGTCCAAATTAAAATGCATTTTACGATAATATCTAATGAAACATTAGACCTTAATCCTTATTATGAAGTTCTTCTCACTTAATAGTGTCATAAAGTAAAATTAGTATCAACTAAATTCTGCATTAAAAATGTAGAGAATACCCACGTTGTGCATGCAATTTAATCACTAAAAAAGGAAGTAAAATTTTATTGTGATATTCCTTCTTTGCATCTCATCTTCCAAACTGAATTTCTCTGAAAAAAATAAGCTAGATGGAAATATAAAATGTTTTAAAGATTTCCAGGTGCTGGGCATGGTGGCTCATGCCTGTAGTTCTAGCACTTGAGGAGAGCAAGGAAGGAAAAATCACTCATGTCCAGGAGTTTGAGACCAGCTGGGCAACAGAACAAGGCCCCCAACTCTAAACAAAACATTTTTAATTTAGCTGGGCATGGAAGTAGTACATGCCTATAGTCCCAGCTACCTGGGAGGCTGAGGCAGGAGGATCGTTTGAGCCCAGGAGTTTGAGGCTGCCTGAACCACAATCTCACAACTACCTCCATCCTGGGTGACAGAGTGAGACCCTATCTCTAAAATAATAATCATAATCATAATGATAAGATGCACAGGATAAAAGTCACAATACATACCCATATTGTAAAAAATATTTTAATAGTTCAGAATAAATATTAAGGTATGGTAAGTTGATCCTTTCCTCAACCCACCTTGCTGTCAAGGTTCTTCATGGTTAAGAGATCAAGTGTCTTCAGAGAGTGGCCTGTCGGTGAAATGAAGTAGAGGCACACATGGATGCGAGAATCGTGGTAGGTAAAGAGAGAACGCTTAATCTTCAGTTCTTCTTGGAGATAGGCCTCAAACTGAGCATCTATGTAGTCAACTATTGGTTGGTAGCTGAAAAATTATTTAAATGTTTAACACATTGTTTGTATTACCTTAAGATATTTGTGCAATTCTTTTTTTTTTTTTTTTTTGACAGGGTTTCACCATGTTGGTCAGGCCGGTCTTGAACTCCCAACCTCAGGTGATCCACCCACCTTGGCCTCCAAAGTACTCGGGTTACAGGCGTGAGCCACCATGCCTGGCCGATATTTGTGCAATTCTTAGATGTTTGAGGTCTGTATTTTCACTAATGAACAGATAACTTTAGTGATAAAAAAAATGTACAGAACATGCACAAAAGCTATACAAACGCTTCTCAACTTACAATGGGGCTATATCCTGATAAATCCATCACACAAGTTGAAAATATTAGCTGAAATGCATTTAATACCCCAATAAACCTATCAAAAAGTTGAGAAATCATAGGTCAAACTATCCTAAATTCAGTATCGTTTGTACTTCCCAAACCATCAGGGCAATCTGTGCTTGAAATGGTATTGGATTTACACTGATTCATTCTTATAGTCATTCACATGCTAGGTCATTTTCTGACAAAGCTTCTCACACTTGCCAGACTGCTCAAAAAGACTAGCAACAGTCTAATTTGTAATCAAAGTGGTACCTGACTTCTTATTTAACTAATTGAGAAAAGGCATAGGTATCAAGATACTTAAGTCAAAGTCCATGATTTCCTGCCTCTTAGATTTGTAAGGCACAAAAAGCGTTAAGTAAAGAAGAAAGGCATACATCAGCTGAAAGTAGCTAACTAGCAATGCTGGCATAGTTTTACTTTCATTCAATTATAAACCAAGGCAAGGCCAATTACATCCTCTGCTCAGATAACTCCTCTCTGGAATGCAGTCTTCCTTCTGACTGTCTCAGATTGTTCAGCCTTCAAAGACACAAATCAAATCACAGTGCATGTGCCAAGCAGTGTGCTAATGCTGTTCCAAGAATAGTCTGTGAGCATTCCACTCAGTTCTGATATGCTAAACCACTGACTTTGCAACTTATTTTTCTACTCTTAACTATTCTCATTAAACAAATCTGGGTTTCTAAGTGAAAAGAACACTGAACAGTTCCCATGTCAAATTCCCTGGAAACCTTTGTAGCCCTATAATAAACCAGTACTGTGAGCAGCTGAGGTAATTAATAAATGTGTATAGAATTCTTCTATAAAGTTTCCTGACCTTCTAGTCCTTAAGGATCATCACCTCTTTTAAAATTATAGAATACATCTTTGTTCTCCCTACACAAATGGTAAACAATGTGAGAATCAAGACAGTGTCTTAATCATCTGTGTTTTTCACCTGACCTAACATAGGCCAGGATCAGTGGCTCACAATTATAATCCCAGTGCTTTGGGAGACCAAGGCAGGAGGATCACTTGAGGCCAGGAGTTCGAGAACAGCCTGGGCAACAACAAAGTGAGACCCCCACCTCTACAAAAAAATTTTAAAAATCAGCCAGACATAGTGAGTGCCTATAGTCTTAGCTACTTGGGAGGCTGAGGTAGGAAGATCCCTTAAGCCTAGACATTCAAGGCTACAGTGAACTGTGATTGTGCCACTGCACTCCAGCCTAGGTGACAAATCAAGATTCTGTTTAAAATGAATTTTTTTTTTAATATACAGACAAGGTCTGGCTGTGTTGTCCAGGCTGGTCTCCAACTCCTGGCTTCAAGCAATCCTCCTGCCTTGGCCTCCCAAAGTGCTGGGATAACAGGCGTGAGGAACCACACCTTGCCTCAAAAAAGACTTTTTAAAAAATAATAAATAAAAGAACTAGCATAAAACCTTGAACATTATAAGAATTCAATTCACCACTAGAGTGATTATTATATCAACAGTAAGTGATCCTTTGGAAAGTGGTCTAAATGTGACCCAAAAGGATTGACTTCCTAAAACAATAAAATGGGGAAAATTAATCTATTAAGTATATATTTCACATAAAAATTCCAAAGAAGGTTTTTTTTTTGAGATGGAGTTTTGCTCTCCTCACCCAAGCTGGAGTGCAATGGTGCGATCTTGGCTCACCGCAACCTCCGCCTCCTGGGTTCAGGCAATTCTCCTGCCTCAGCCTCCCGAGTAGCTGGGATTACAGGCATGTGCCACGATGCCCAGCTGATTTTTTGTATCTTTTAGTAGAGACGGGGTTTAACCATGTTGACCAGGATGGTCTCGATCTCTTAACCTCGTGATCCACCCGCCTCGGCCTCCCAAAGTGCTGGGACCACAGGCGTGAGCCACTGCACCCGGCCAAAGAAGCTTTTATTAATGACTAAAAATAGATCAGTAAGAGGACCTATCATATGACCTAAATAACTATAAATGCACCTCTAGCTGAACGTTTTGTCTTATGCTATTTAAGAATGAAAACCATAAAGATTTTCTGCTAAATAAATAATAGGTCATTAGAAATTCTTCCATAGTATTCTGGACAAAAAGATTAAAAATATGAATCAGAGAGATTAAGAGTAACAGACACGGAAGATATGAGAAGATCTAACATATTTCATCAAAGTTTTCAAAGAAAAAAAACAGAAAAGGGAACACAGGCAATATTTACATAAGAATTGTCTGAGACTTTTTAGAAAGAACTGATGGACACTATTCAGAATCAAGAACTCAAACATATCACAAGTAGGGTAAATTAGAAATAATAACAACCCACATACAGCATAGCAAAACTGGAGAACAATAAAAACAAAGATCTTAAAAGTACTGGAGGGAAAAAAGGAAACTACCCTTAAGGGAGACTTCTTAATAGCAAAGACAGAAGCCAGGAGAGAGTGGAATGGTATTTCCAATGGGAAAAAGAAAATAACTGGCAACCAGAATTGTATATCCAACTAAAATTTCAAGTATGTGAGCAGAATAGAAACTTTTGGTTAACAGGTGGTAATAAATATATACTGGCCATATAATAATACTTTGTGTGGTTAAAAAATAGAGAACTCAGCCAGGCATGGTGACTCACACCTATAATCTCAGCACTTTGAGAGGTAGAGACAGACACATCACCCAAAATCAGGAGTTCAAGACCAGCCTGGCCAACATGGTGAAACTTCATCTCTACAAAAATACAAAAATTAGCCGTGCCTGTAATCCCAGCTACTCAGGAGGCTGAGGCAGGAGAATCGCTTGAACCCACGAGGCAGAGGTTGCAGTGAGCCGAGATCATGCCATTGCACTCTAGCCTGGGCAACAGAGTAAGGCTCCGCCTCAAAAAAAAAAAAAAAAAGAAAGGCATGGTGGCTCATGCCTGCAATCCTAGCACTTTGGGAGGCAAAGGCAATCAGATTGCTTGAGGCCAGGAGTTCGAAACCAGCCTGATCAACATGGCACAAGGAAACAGAAAAGTTAAAAGGACTGACACCGGGCAAGGTGGCTCACACCTGTAATCCCAGCACTTTGGGAGGCCAAGGTGGGCGAATCACCTGAAGTGGGGAGTTGAAGATCAGCCTGACCAACATGAATGAACCCCATTTCTACTAAAAATACAAAATTAGCTGGGCATGGTGGTGCATGCCTGTAATCCCAGCTACTCGAGAGGCTGAGGTAGGAGAATCGCTTGAATTTAGGAGGCAGAGGTTGCAGTGAGCCAAGATTGTGCCATTGCACTCCACCCTGGACGACAAGAGCAAAACTCCATCTCAAAAAACAAAAACACATAAAGAAATTAAGTAAATAAAGGAATTGAAAAACTACACCAAACATACATAAGAAAGCTACAGATAACACAGACATGGAGGCATTACAAGAGAAAAAAGGTCACTACATAATAATAAGTGTCAACGCTTCAGGATGAAATAAAAATGGAGATTAGAAATTTACTAAAATTGCCGGCTGGGCATGGTGGCTCATGCCTGTAATCCTAGTATTTTGAGAGGTTGAGGTGGGCGGATCACCTAAGCTCAGGAGTGTAAGGCCAGCCTGGCCAACATGGCGAAACCCCATCTCTACTGAAAATATAAAAATAAGCTGGACGTGCTGGTGGGCACCTGTAATTCCAGCTATTCAGGAGACTTGAGGCAGGATAATTGCTTGAACTCAAGAGTCGGAGGTTACAGTGAGCTGAGATCTTGCCACTGCACTCCAGCCTGGGTGACAGGGGGAGACTCCATCTCAAAAAAAACAAAAAAGAAATTTACTGAAATTGAAACTACTATGTGTCAAACTTGCAGGATGTAGCCTAAGCCATTCTTATATGGTAGTTTATAATACTAAATGCATAAGGCTGAAAATCAATGAGAAATTGGAGCAAAACTCCAAAAAGTATAGACATAAGAGCAGAAAGTAATTAAACAGGAAAAATGAAAAGCATAAAACTGAAAGGATCAATACAGCCAAAATCTGGTATTTGAAAAGATCAAATAAATTGACAACACGTTGTCAAGACTAATCAAGCAGAAAAAGAAAAGGAGTACAAACAACTATTATCAGGAAAGACAGTATCATTACATATGATGCAGACAATAAAAAGATATTAGGAGTTTGTTAGAATATTTTTAAGCCAATAATTTGAAAATTTAGATGAAATGGACAGATTCCTAGAAAATTATAACTTATCAAAACTGTCTCAAAACAAAATAAAACCAACTCTGAATTGTCCTATAACCATTTTTTTAATTATTTAACTCAAAATCTTCTTAGAAAGAAAACCCAAGGCTCTGATTTTTTAATTGGTTAGTTCCATCAAACATTCCATGGAAAAATAACTCTGATCTTATAATTCCAGGCCCTGATTATTATTATTTTTTTTTGAGATGGAGTTTTGCTCTTGTTGCCTAGGCTGAAGTGCAATGGCGGGATCTCAGCTCATTGCAACCTCTACCTCCTGAGTCTTCAAGTGATTCTCCTGCCTCAACTGAGTATCTGGGATTATGAGTGCCTGCCACCACACCCAGCTAATTTTTGTATTTTAGTACAAATGGGTGTTTCACCATGTTGGTCAGGCTGGTCTTTAACTCCTGATCTCAGGTGATCCACCCACCTCAGTCTCCCAAAGTA